CTCTGGCCGCTAGATGCTTCCTAATCTGGCGCTATAGTAGATACAGTCTACGTTCCTTCGTTGTCTGAACCATACTAAAGAGTTGCCAAATAGCACGAAACAGCTATCGATGCTTAGCCGCCTGTGGTCAGACAAATGAGAGATATATTACTAGTTTGTTCAATGACGAGTATTCCGTATCTACTACTGGCTTACAGTTGCAACTGATAGCTTTCTGTTTTGACTTCCGCAGTGGCCGACTTCTATTCGTCATTTGTTTGTCTAATATGTCAGTTTTGGTTGCCCGAAAACCACACAATGTCAATCACAAAGACAATGTGAAAGAGAAGAAAAAAGGAGAAGAGAAAAGAAAAACAGAAGTATCAGTTCAAGAGGAAGCACCTAGGTTTGTCGACTTGGTACACGGATTAATTTCGAGATGAACTAAAAACCCATTTTCTTTCAGGTTTTGTTAAAGTGTAATTTTACGATCCTTCACTACTGTGTATCCACTAAGGTACGCGACAGCGGTTACTGAACGATTCCGGTAATAGATGGCTCTTCGTGCTCCAACAGCAATGTTCCTGACCCAAATCAACTACCCGGATACATTTCCGGCAGCATTTTAATTTGAAAATCCTCCCGGCCAGTGCATTGAATACACTAAGCCTGAAATCTGATATGATATTGTCTGAGGTATTATCCCGAATGCAATACTGGCTGAGCACATAGAGAGCTTAAAATTCGAGTTTAATTCTACGCTCCCGCCGAAATACCCCAAGTTCACGCAGACACACATCGAATTACGGGGAAGCAGAAAAGGCCTCCTGCGATCCCCACATCCGTCGTCGGGTTTCGCTGGAATATTCCGCCGTCTCCCGGATTAATCGGATTTGGAATCCTCGCCACCGGAAAGGCTACCGCCGACGCTTTGCCGGCGACGCGTTGCAGCTAGCTAAAAAGTACCTCGTCGACCGCGTAATTATCATTTCGCCATCTAGTACAGTCAAACGGTATACATGAAAACTTACTAAATAATGATAATAGTAATAATAATAGTTACAATAATAACACTGCACAAAAAAATTTAGTTTTTTAATTGTATCTTATGGGAAAAGTGCACTTCCTTGTTAATTTTCTGGCGCTGAATCCAAAAATGACAATGAAATAAAAGAATTAGTTGCGGTTTAGAAAAAAACTTTTTATTTTTAAGGATATATTAAAAAAAGTAACAAGATTCATATACTTATAAGAAGTCCTATATGCGCTGTATTTTTGCTGTTCTTTTATGGATCGTGTCTGGAGCATCTCTACCAAGAGTCCAACAGTAGTCTGCAAGCATGGAAGGATTTCACTTTCCCTGATACCTTTTTTCCCTTGTTGAAATATCCTGATGAAAACGTTCGCCGTGCTCATCACTTACGGCTCCGCAATTGTCAGGAAAAAAGTCCAGGTGTAAGTGTAGGAAATGTATCTTAAGAGACATATTACAGCCCATCTTTTGATACGATGACAGCATATTTTTGACAAGGGTTTTATAGTTGTCAGCTTTTCTATTTCCCAAGAAATTAGTGACCACCAGACGGAAATCATTCCAAGCAGTTTTTTCAATACCTGTTAAAGTGTTTTCAAACTGTGTATCTTTCAAAATATTTCGAATCTGCGGCCCAACAAAAATACCTTCTTTAACCTTTGCCTCACTTAGTCTTGGAAGTTTCTGACGCAGGCATTGAAAAGCTGACCCATCTCTATCTAATGCCTTGACAAAGTTTTTCATTAGGCCCAACTTGATATGCAGTGGTGGTAATAAATTTTTTTTCGAATCTACTAATGGCATATGCTGTACATTTTTTTGACCTGGCTCTAGAAATTGACGAACAGGCCAGTTTTGTCTGGTGTAATGAAGTGCCTTTACCCGACTGTTCCATTCACACAAAAAATAGCAAAACTTTGTGTAGCCTAGCTGCAGCCCAAATAAAGGTGCAACAACTTTCAAATCGCCACAAATATGCCCTTGGTGCTCATCGTATTTTATGCATGTCAATAGGTACTTCATATTGTCATATGATTCTTTCATGTGAACTGCATACCCTACAGGAAGAGATGGTAAAATATTTCCAATATGCAATAACACTGCCTTTAAACTCAATGTTGAACTGTCTATAAACAATCTCCATTCTTCTGGGTTATAGGTTATATTTAAAGCCGCCAGTAAGCCGTTAATGTTACTGCAGAAAACCAAGTTATTCTCCATATTGAAAAATGGTTCTAAGTCTTTGTGGCGTTGACGAAAAACACATACCGAAACATCGTCTTCTAACAAGTTCCACTGCTGCAGTCTTGATCCAAGTAACTCTGCCTTACATTTTGGAAGTTCTAAATCTCTTACAAAATCATTTAATTCTGACTGTGTTATTTTGTGCGGTTGGTGGCATGACGTGCTCGGTATAAAATCAGGATCTCTTGACGTTGATGGCATATCTTCTTCCTGACGAATCACTCGATCGCCATGATCTGATTCGTTTTGTGATTCGCAAGTGTAGGATTCTGGAGGTTTTAGAATAGGATTTTCGTCACTGTGAGGCACAGGTCTCATCGCAGATGGTATGTTTGGGTAGTAAATAACCGATTTTTTTTTCTTGGACATACCTGTGGCTTGTCCAACACAAGGAACCATGGAAAAGTAACAATCATTAATATGATTTGTAGGCTCTCTCCAAACCATTGGGACAGCAAAGCGCATAGACCGTTTTTTGCCATTTAACCAGCTCCTCAGACTTGAAGCACATGTATTACAGCAGATGTGGGGTGCCCACTGTTTGTCTTGATCACCTAGTTTACAACCGAAATAAAGCTGATATGCCTTTGTTATTAGTGGAGTAATAGACCGTCTCTGAGACGCAAAAGTCACATCACCACACACGTAACAAAACTGATCTGGATTGTTTACACACTTTCGAGACATCTTGCATGAACGCTGTCAGCCAACTGAGGAAAAAATGGCTAATATAAAACAATATAATGTACACGTATGTATAACGTAACACAATCATGCCGATTAAATCATCTTTCCTTGCCGAATATAAAAATGTAGCACGTGCATTCTTGTGAATTACAGTATATTAACACTGTCACAGCAGGAACACATATAATTACCGTATCTCTAAAACTTAAACTAATATTGAAAAAATAAGTTTCATTCCGGTTTTAGCACATTAAAAATAGTAATATTTTGTTGATTTTATTTAGGATATTTTTTGGCTGTTGATCAGAGTAATATAACAAAGCGAAAATCTACAAACGTCGCACCAAACTGTGCACTCGACGAGGATGTAGTGGTCGTTGATGAATCTTCCAGATACGACAAATCTGTTCATATCATCGCTCATTATCAGTAAAAATCGTTAGTCTTGGTATTAAGGTGCAATACAGCATGACTGTACTGTCGGCAACTTCCATGGTCACTAGGCTGTAGTTCTTGGATTAGGCCTCGAATGCAAGTTTTTTTTTAAAATAGTGCGTAGTAACTTTGGACGAATACCCACTTGCTTGAGAACAATGTCTGGTAGATACCTCAAGGCGCCCCACTCCACTTTCCCATTTCTGTGCACAGTCTTATCGTCCTATTTTTTTGTTATATGACATACAAAAGTTTTTGTTCAATATGTACTGTTTCCTCTAAAAAACGTGTGAATGCCTTTTCGTCGTGTTTATGTTCAAAAATGATCAAATAATATCAAGTCTACTTGAATGTCCGAGTACTTTACGTAAAAACCACTTGATTTAAATTGCTAGTTTCTTATATTTGACCTAAGCTTGACTTGCTTTCAAATCAAGTCAAAAGAAGTAGTTGAAAATGTAGTCAAGTCGTGACACCCTCTGCAGATTCAAGCGGTCGGATCTTAAGCCGGGTTTACACGGGTCGAGTAAACGGTCAAGTTGAGCAGTAAAGTCAAGTATTTTTACTTGCATCGTTTAAACAACTTCAGTCAAGTAAAGTAACGACTCGCGTCAAGTGACGAGGCAAGTCAAGTGGTTCTGTACGGTGAACAAGTAACTTTGCTGGACTGCTACCCCCACTTCACTGGATCGCCAATGAAAACAAAAAAATCAAAAGTAAATAAGTTTTTGCGCATGGATTGTGGATTTGTACTTTGTGTTTTTTTCATATTTTTTATACATTTTGATCACAGATAAGCAAATAATTTTGGTGACGTTGGTATACTACAAATTGTGAATTAAGGTTGAATTTGTACAAGTTGCAGTGGTCAGAAAAAGAAACCACGCATTTTGTTGAACTCTATAGTGAAAAAGAGTGATTATGGAATAAGAGTGGTGTAAATTATCGCAATAAAAATATGCGCGAAGCAGCTGAAGAGGGCATCGTGAACAGGATGGAAAGGAAGGCTTTGGGGTGGCAGAATTAAAGCAAAAAAATAAAGATAATGAGAACAACCTATAATCAGGAAGCGTTGAAGGTTAAGAAGTCTAAGAAATCAGGAGGTAAACCGGATGATATATACATTCCAACTTTCAAGTGGTTCCGACAAATGGAAGAAATAATGGATAGCTAAACAGATGAAGATGAAACTAAAAGCATAGTAACTCAAAAGTGTATTTTTGCCCCCTGTTGATTCACTCATGTCGCAAGGTGAAATTCAAAGAGTAATACAAAAATATCGACTGAATGCGTTAAATAAGAGTACTTCTGCTTCTGAGGCTTCCGCATGAACAGCAACTCAATCACCAAACCATTCTTGCAGCACTAATTACCCGGTCATGAGCGAGGATACAGTTGCAAATGATGATGCTGCTACGAGGGATGTCTTTTAAGTCTTGCATATGGAAATAAAACAACACAGCAGGTAGTTTTAAATGACTTTATTGTTTTTCGAAGTATTCTCCACGAAGATTAATACACATCTGCATGCGCTCGAACCAATTTTCGAAGCACTTAGCTGATTTAGAAACTCGGAAGAGATGAGAAAGGGTTCTGTAATTATTAACAGTTACTAGGTAATTCAAGGCTGCTTCCAACATTGCTTCTGGTTTGATAGCGTCGCCCATAATATTATTAAGCCTAAAAAATAGTCAAATTTTTCAGCAGTCATTCTGAGCATCATTCTGTATTCTTTAGGATCTTCAAATCTCAGCTCCCTTATTAAAGTGGTGGAAGCTCCTTGACTTTCTCTTCGTGTAAGCCATTCTCGACACCATACCCTTTTTTCAGGATTTCTCTCTTCCTCCAAAACTTCTTCCAGTTCTTCCAGGAGAATATTAGTGAGATTAATAACACAATTTCGTATGACAATTCGACTTTCTACCATGTTTTTAACTGTCTGCTTGCACATCTACTGGACTACGTGGAAACGCGCTTTTCGGATCAAGTTGTGAATCAAGTATAAAGTAGAATTTAGGATTTCTGTCCTATATAAACCTACCTACAAGGTCCATCAGTGGCACATGTATAGATCACTGCTTTGTGAAAGACCTATCCAACAAAATTACTTGTATACCAATAATCCTAGAAAGCGATATTACTGACCACTTCTCCACTATTTTACTGATATCTTCAAATGAAAAACATTCTAACATCTAACATCCCTACCGTTAGTAACAACCAGGAAAATTACAAATTTTTTGTCGACAATTCAAAACTAATGTCAAATGTCAAACAAGAACCCTGGGAACAATTATACTCTATAAATAATATAGACAAAGCAACGGGACTGTTCATAGAGAAAATAAAAAAACTAATAGATATTAGTACCAATAAAGTAATAATTAGTCACAAAGAGAAAAGCAGAAATGCCTTGATTACCAAAGGATTAATAACATCGGCAATAGAAAAAGAAAGACTATATAATGTAATGAAACTAACGCCAACTACAGAGAATACCGACTGCTACAACCAATATAAAAATAAATTTAGAGAGCTTGTAAGGCAAACCAAACGAAAACATTACCTAAATAAATTGAATAATAGCTTAAATGATCCTAAGCGGCTTTGGACAACTATTGATGAGATTACTGGGAAAACAAAAGTTAAAGAGTGTGTCACTGAGTTAAATACAACATCGGGAACAGTATTAAAAAATACTCAACAGATATACGATGAATTTGTACAATTCTTTACTGACATAGGCGAAAATTTAGCAAGTAATATACAAGCAAATGTACAAAATACTCAGCGTCCAAAAAGAACTTTGAACTCATTTATTTTGGATAAAGTCGAGCAATGTGAAGTATACACCACTGTTATGTCCTTAAAGAATCGGAAAAGTCCTGGGTTCGATGGTATTAAAAGCGAGCATTTGAAAATTATAGCCGAGGACATAACAGAACCACTCACTTACCTAATCAACAAATGCTTTGAATCTGGCATATATCCCTCAATTTTAAAAAAAGGTAATATAATACCGATACATAAATCAGGAACAAAAACAGATGTTAACAACTATAGACCAATATCAATAATATCCAGTGTAGCAAAGGTTTTTGAAAAAGTTTTATCTACTAGAATGATTCGATACCTCACAAAATTCAAAATTTTAAGTGAAAATCGATATGGATTTACAGAAGGGAAGGCTACGTCGGACGCAATAACTAAAATTGTAAATCAAATACATCAAAATATTGATGCAATCTGCATTTTTGTTGATTTAAAGAAAGCTTTCGACACAGTTAATCACAAATTATTATTAGAAGCATTGGAGAGAATTGGTTTCAGAGGAAACGCGTACTCACTGATCCAAAGTTATTTGTCAAATCGCCCACAATCTATGCAGGTATCAGGATCATTTAGTAAGGAAATGTATATTAAGTGTGGTGTCCCACAAGGAACAGTCTTAGGTCCGCTGTTATTCAATATATATTTAAATGATATTTTCCAAATTAATTGTGTTGGCAAAATAACTAGTTTTGCAGATGATACTGCAATATTATATGAAGGCACTGACTGGTCTGATCTGAAAAATGTAATTGAAAATGATTTTATCAAAATTATTCGGTGGTTTAACAGTAGAAAATTAAGCATTAACTACTCTAAAACACATTTTTTACCATTTGGATCTTATGCTAGACATCTGCCAAATTACACAAATTTCTCCTTCAATATTAATGATAAAAAAATGCAAATTAATAGAGTGCCCAACATAAAATACCTTAGAGTGGTCTTGGATCCTCACTTACGGTGGGACATCCATGTCAATTATATTTTAAAGAAAGTTAGATTTGTATCCTACAAAATTAAATACCTTGGGAATATATTGACAGAAAAATATCTTCGAACATTATACCATGCACTGATTGAGCCTCATCTCACATATGGTATATTAGCATGGGGAGCTGCATGTTCCTCACATATCTATAATTTAGATGTTTTTCAAAAAAGTATTCTAAAAATGATATTTAAAAAACCGAAACTTTATCCAACTGAAAAATTATACGCAGATGTTCGAATATATGATATAAGACAGCTTTATTTCTTACACAGTATCACTCACTACCATAAATTTGTAAACAACGACAAAAAAATCATACTCATAAATACGAACATCAACTGAATACATAATCTACTGTACCTAATTTTTGTCCTTTTTTGTCATTTGCATTCTACAGTTTCAACTTAAATTTATTGGTCCATGTACAGGCGATGCCTTCTATTGGGCCTGTTTTGATTTTATATTTATTTACTCATATTGTTTGTTATCTTTGTACATTGAGTGAATAAATTGATGATGATGAGAATGCAACCACGCAAGTGCGAAGACAAGTAACTTGACCCGTGTAATCCCGGCTTTAGAGTTCCAGACAACTGTTTTCTTATCTTTTTAGTAGTGTATCCTTTTTCGTTCTCCGTTGCCACCTATCGATTTTTATCCACGACCGCAGCGCACAAAACGAATTTTCGCCCGTTGGTTTTTTTCACTTCGGCCGGTTCCATTTACGAATGCAAATTTCGGCGAGCGCGTCGAGCTCAGTCTTTACACAGCTGGCTGGGCGGCCGTGAATCCGATTAATCCGGGCGAAAGTCCGGTAGTCCGGAAAACGTCCTGCAGCCACGCTACCGGAAGCCGGCGCGGCGTCGAGCTCCTTGTTTAGCAGGAAGCACGAGACGAAACTTTGACGAACACTGTTTGGATCCGTCAGAGTGGAACTATCGCGATTGTATACAGAGCGAGCTGGTTATCTAGGGCGTAACATGCGCCAGCATGTCGCATTCCTAATTTGGTTGGTGTCATCTGAGAAAGGCACCAGTAGTGAGCGGTAAAGAATCTCGGCTGGGGTGGCATATATAGCTCCTGAAGGCCGCTTCTCACGATATGAGATTTTATGCTAAATTTAGTTGACACGCCTTTTTTGGATAATTAATAAAACACAATGATAAATACTGTCTAACGGTTGATCTAAGCCATTGATTTCCAAAGTGGCCTATATCGACCCCTAGGGGTCTATGACAACCTGCAACGGGTCTACGTCAGCGAAAAAAAATTTGGGGGTCCATGAAATGAATATGGGGGTTCACGTTAGTGGATCTCAACACATACACTGATAGTACCTATTTACTTACATCATACTATCTTATAATATCAAAACATATACATTATTTATAAAAGTACCTATGAAGTAAAAAATTTATTATATATGTTTATAAAATTGTGTACGTTGTAGGATGTTGGTATTCGCTTTGTGGTCGCAATACATTTTGAACTTGTAAAAACCTGAGAGTCGCAGTCTCAGAGCTTCGCTACCTTGCACTGACTTGTTCAATTCGTCACTTTATAAATACCAATGTGGGACAAATACGTTTATTCGTTTCCTGAATCTTGAAAAGGAAAGTGCTAAGAAAATATTTAAAAAAATATAAACAGATAGTATATCACACAAATTATAGTGAGTCAGTGTTATTTTGTTTGAGAGTGCTGGAGAGTAGTAAGTACATTTTTTTTTATTAAATTTTAGTGTTGTACTCGTAGTTAGCAAAGAAATTACGCCAATCATGACTTTAGTTATTAGTAGTTAAATATTCAATCATGCAAAATTACACGAGTACTCCTCAATAGTTTTTAAGTTTTAGCAATCGATGTTCGAATTATGAAATGTTTTCGGAAAAATCAAAAAATATTTTTAATATATACGTACAGCTGCTGGATTCTCTGTCTTATTGTAATAATTTAATTTTGCCCACAGATGACTGATGCCATGTCCGAATCTAAAAACAAATGTAGACAGTACAGTTTTGATTATTTGAAATTTGGCTTCATTCCATCATTTCCGGACAAACAATCGCCTAAGTGACTTTTATGCAACAAAGTTTTGGGCAATGACGCTATGAAACCATCTAAACTGCAAGATCATCTGAGAAGATGCCACCCTGATAAAACAGAGAAAGATTTGAAATAATTTCAAACACTCAAAGATAAATTTCAGAAGAGACCTACACTGGACAGAATGTTCGCTTCGACGTCACAAAGAAATGATGATGGTTTGCGGGCGTGTTACAATATCTCGTTACTTATAGCAAAATCCGGAAAACCGCATACTGACGGAGAGAAGTTAATTTTGCCAGCCATTGAAGAGGTTTTACACAAACCTGCATCTGATATCATCAAAAGAATTCCTTTAAGCAACAATACTGTTGAAAGACGTATTGATGAAATGAGTTCTGATATTGAAAGCTTCTTACGTAATTATTTGCAAACGACCCATTTCTCTATAAAACTGGACGAGTCAACTTTACCTGATAATGCAACATTGTTATTGGCATATGTTCGTTTTATTATGAATCAAGAAATCTACGAAGAACTGCTCTTCGCAAGAACTTTGATAACCAACACTAAAGGTGAATCAATATTTCATGTTTTGAAGGATTACTTCATTGAAAAAGCAATTCCTTTATCAAATATAATATCAGAAGCTACAGATGGAGCACCTGCCATGGTTGGTCATTATCGTGGATTTATAAGCTATTTAAAACAAAATGTGTCAGGGGTGTTAGCAATACATTGCGTCATCCATCGATAACATTTAGTTGCTAAAAATTTGATTGTTGGATTGCATCAATCACTTCATTTAGTCATTGATGCAGTAAACCGAATCCGAAGCAACGCGTTGTGTGAAGAAAATGACGAACACTTTCATCAATTACTCCTTCACACTGAAGTACGCTGGTTGTCGAAAGGCTTATGTTTGACAAGATTTTTTGCACTTTTTGAGACTATTTTAGAATTTCTGGATACTAAAGATAAAATTTTAAAAGAAAATTTAATGAAGAGGAAAACAGACATCGCCTATTTAACAGATTTGTTTACAAAACTTAATATGGTTAATTTGATTAAAACAAAGTCCATTTTATCAGCGTTTCTTGCCAGAGTTAAACTAATGAAGCAAAATATTGGACGGGGCGAATTTTCTCAGTTCCCCAATTTGTCACAGACAAGCTGCCAGGAAGACGACGTTTCAACTTAAGTTGAACATTTAAATGCCATCTATTCAGATTTTGAATCTAGGTTTGAGGATATTTTGACTATGGTAATACCACCGTGGATAATTAATCCATATGGTGACATAGATGAAACGAATGTCATAATACAAGAGGAACTGACTGAACTAAGTACAAACGAAGAACTTAAGGTTCAGTTTAAAAACGGATATCAGCAATTCTGGCTGCAAAACAACACACCCATTACTTATCCCGTATTATGGAATATAGCGAGGAAATTTTTAATTTCCTTTCCATCCTCATACCTAGTGGAAAGGGGGTTCAGCCCTGTTACCAACCTCCTAACGAAAAAAAGAAACAGACTGGACATCATTAGCCGAGGAGGTTTAAGATTAACCCTTACAAAATTGACGCCAAATGTTGATAATTTATTATTAAAGCATCAGGTTCATCCTTCTCACTAAAAATATTGACTTATTGCTTATGTTATTTTATTTATAGTTTATTTTGTGTTTATTGCTGTCTGACCAACATATGCACGCATTGGGAATAAGTGCCCGCATTGTTTTTTTTAAAGAACCCCCTTTATAGAAAATATTATATATATATACACTAAAATTCGTTATTTTTTTCCTATTTTTAGATAACTTAAACGTATAAGAAGCGGAATTTAATCAAACTAACAGTGAAATTATTGTACGTTTATGTTATAATTAATAAACGAACTCGCTTATTGTACTATTTTAAGTAAAAAGCTTTTTTTTATTATTTTTCACTTTTTTTTATTTTGTCCCTCTTATTTTTTTTCAATGCGGGCACTTATTCCCAATGCGGGCACTTATTGGTCAAACACCTGTTTATTTAATGTTACGTATATTTTACATAACAGATACAAAATTTTATTTTGAGTAGTTTTAATTTAAATTCAATTAATAAATGTATAAATTAACATGTGTTTTTACTTTAAGTTTTTAACACTAAACTTCACTACAGTTAGAAATTTACAGGAAATCAATATCTGGTAAGTAGGGGGTCTACTCAACACGGAAAAACATGGCAAGGGGACTACGACACAAAAAAGTTTGTGGAACTCTGATCTAAGCAAAACAGTTTTCTAGTGACGTGCAAATTTAGGCACTAGCTCAATAAAGCTGAGAGTAGGGGGGGTTAAGAGCGCCAGTGACTTAGGACGGTTTAAGCCAGAACTCCGCGAGATATTAGTCGGAACTTGTTCTGCTTGACCACCACACAAAAGGAGAATCTAACAGGGATGACGAAATTTAAGTATCAGTACACACAGGGAGAGCAGAATAAACAAGATATCAAATGAATCACAATATATTGATTAATAAAAAAGAAACGCACATGTGCTCCACTACTGGAGTGCGAGTTATAAAAAAAGACAAAAAGATAATAATACATTTATTTGATTTCAATTCAATTACAAATGTTACAGGTGAAATAAAAAACATGCAAATAAATATGAAATACCCACAGAAGGCAAAGCCTGTGCGTGGTGAGATGTCTATCCAATATTCAGTCTATATCAGTATAATTGTCATTATAGTTACAATTGTCATAATCGGGTGTGCGAGGAATCAGAGGATGTCATACTAGGAAGTTCATTTGCTTTAGCTGCTGCATGCTCGGATATGCTTAACCTTATGTTTATATTAAGAACTTTTAAAAAAATTCCTTGACAGTTAAAAAAAAGGTGTTAATCGTTTTTATATATATTTGAAAGAATTAGCTGATGTATGTAGAGGCGACGCGACGTATTTCATTAATCCACTTTTTTAGTTCTTTTTTAAACTGCATAGAATTATACTGTTCCAAGTTGATAGGCTTCGGTCCTAGGTATTGGAGTGATCTCTGCATGACATTGACATGAGGCTCTGGTAAACATGCTCTCACTTTATAGCGGGTATCATAGTCATGCTCAGTGTGGCTTAACTTATGTTGGATGAAGTAGAGTTGTCGAATATCATGCATTCCAATTTCGGTATATGATTGTTCTGTTGGGTATATTCTTGGCTTATTATATATTACCTTTAGAATGTACTTTTGTATTGTCTCAAGATTTTTCATGTGTGTCTTACACGCTGCTCCCCACGCGTTCACACCATACCTCAAATGGCTCTCAACTAGTGAATAATAAAGTACTTTCATTTGATAGAAGTCATAGTATTTAATAAGGTACTTAAATTTGTAAAGCATTGTACGCAATTTTTTAATTACGAAACGCATGTGCGTGTCCCATTTAAGGGTAGAATCTAGGGACACTCCCAGATATTTAACACTGCGAAGAAGTTAGTTGTAATTGTTCATTTTGGTTGTTATACAACCTAACAAAATTATTTTTCAAGATAACCCCGCGAGACGTCTACCATTGTATACGCCCGAAGTATTTACAGATATTTTCCGCCTAAATATTGTACTTGTCTGTAGGTCTTCTTTGTCGGGCGCGGTCGAGATGTCCTCAACTCTGGTCAAAGAGTGGTCAGTAGTGGGCACGTCACTGGGCATGGGCTGCTTGCCTCGTTGCCAAAAATTATGGTAGTAAAAGAAACCCTACAGAGAGAAAGACTGTTTAAAAATCTACTCTACTCTCTGTCTGAGATAAAACTACTCATTGAAAACAACCGCACTTGAAGAAAAACCATGTACATTTTTTTGTACAAGAGAAGTAAAGCAAAGTAAAAAAAATCGATAAAAATGTACTTAACTAATATGCCCTTGTTCTAAAAAGTTATGGCAGCTCAAAAATCAAAATCATAATCAATGTGCCCATATTTGAATACGTAGAATGTCCAATAAAATCAAGAAGTCTCTAAGAATTTCAATAAATGTATAAAGATCTATGAAATTGTTAATTAGAGTGATATTTTACCTGTTCACATCAGTTTTTTGTTCAAGGGGATGGCTTCCACCAATTTGTACAAGATGTAACCAACTGGAGGAAAAAGGATGATGATTCTCTTCTGTTTCTATTGACTAAAAGAAAGCAGATATATATCTGCCAATGTTGACAAGTAGTACAAACTAATCTGATGTACCTATTAAAGTCTACTTTAAGCTTTAAATCAATAAATCTTCAAAACTACTGAACTGAAGTACAGAAGTACATTAATTTTATATCATTATAAAGGGAATTGAAAGACCTCTAAAATAAGGTATCACTCGATCCACCTTTCCATTTAAGATTTTGGGGGTGGTGTCACCTCCGCTTAGGGGGCTGCACGTGCTAACGTGATTTTTTGCCAAACTTGTGTCCCCTTAGAAAACAAAATCAACCGGTCTCAGCGTTTTTCAAAAAACAAAATGAGCTGGCAGTAAATGCGTCTGTTTCGTTTTCGATACGCCACCCTGCATAATATAGATAACTATAGCATAGAAGTGTGGTAGGTGCTAACTGCTGACAACTTTTCCAGGCATGTAAGCGAGGGCAGATGGGTTGACCAACTGTCAGTGGGGCAGATGATGCTAATTTTTCTGAAAATACAAGCCCTGCGGTCATTACGATTTTCACAATTTATGGAAAACGTCATCACTATCAAAAATCATTTTGAATTAGTAAACAGAAGGTGTGTATGACTATAGTCGTAAAGTTTGTATGTTTTTTTTAGCGATATATTTTTTGGTAGGGACATCACAGCAGATTTATTTTTTAAATCCGATAAGAATTTTTTATTAAATTGAATTGTCTTACAACATGTTCTTGCTTATTGTCTCTGTCACTTTTTGAATTTTTATAAAAGCAGCATGTGACGGAAGATTTAGCTAAGACAAGTGTGTTGCAACTTTTGACATCTGCATTTATAAAATGTGCGTTAACCATCGTCAAAGACGACGTTTTCAAGTGTAACCGAGCAGCACTTGGTACCAAAGCGACGAAAATGAAAATGCGGACCTAAATTCCCGATGCGAGTTACCAGTTTTTCGAATCCGTTGATTGAAGATAAGTATTCCTTGTCAATCAAAAGGTCCAGTGCTCCACTTGAAGGGGTACGAACGAGAACTGAGCTGCGGTCGGCTCTCATCTCCCCGAGTTTGTAAGTGTTCATTTAATTACGAAATTAATACGAAGCAGGCAGTCGAAATACCTCTCATCTTTGCTTAGTTTCATCACTTGACAGAGATGGACTAGCTCGAGAACGCGATTCAAATTACATTTTTGAAAGGTTGAAAGTTATTGGAAAAACTGACTAAGAAAAACTTGTCAGCGAAGCTATTCGTCGGTATAAAACTATATAAATTAAATAAAAAACATATTTCTAACAAGAAGCTTTTCTTTAACTAATCATAGAATGAACTGAAAATTAGAAAATATGTTTTCCGATTCGAAATAAAAGCGTGCT